TTCTTCAGTCTTCTAATCATTTAACACAGGCTAAAGTTGACTTATTCACTACGTCTTACAGATTTTGTATACTGCCTCATGTGATGGAAGTGTGACTATTTTTATGTCGTACTTGCGAACTTTGACTTATCATCATCATCAACTTCTTCAAATTCATTTTTCCAGTGATGCTTCCGTCCACCACATTTTGAGACTCAGGAAGTGAAACTTCTCATGGCGCCTTTTTGAGTCGGTCATCCGATCCTAAAGATCATAATCGCACAGCATTAGCTACATACAGATCGTACGGGCATCCGTCAAGTCCGACAATCGATATGTATCTAATGCTCCGCGATCGTAACAATCGGACGACCAACCATGAACGCGCCCGCAGGATAAAACCATCTTTGTCAGAAAATCCTTAATGTTGAGGATAATTGCGGAACATTAGCGGAAAAAAGCGGAATTTGCTGAGCTTCAAAATATACTCCATATCTCGAAGTCAGATTAGGCGTGTCTATGGGTTTGACGTGGCGGCCGCCGCACTTGATGGAAGTTGCGCGGATAAGCTGCTTCCAGCATGCTTTGCTGATATCCAACAGTATGTTAGAAACAGCCTATCCACACGGCTTCTATCAAGTGCGGCAACGGCCACGTCAAATCCATAGCCACGCCTAATCTGCATTCGAGTTATCGACGTTATATGCATTTCTACAGCAAACCGTCAATCGCTCGACGATCGCGCGATGGCAATCGCTCGAGGAGTGCTTTGCTATCGCTTTCCCAAAGCGTTCCTCGGGCACAGTCGCCGAGTCTGGCGGACATCAAAATGGGGCAAGGTGTCAAGTTTACCGCACTCATATTCATCTATTACAGTTGATTCTGTATGGAAACATGCTAAGTTGCGCCTCCACAGAAGACGCCAAAGTGCCCCTTATATTTGTGATTGAAGGAGCTACCGTGCAGAAGCTAGATTCAGAGGTATTTTCGTTCTTACTCAGCCTTGTCCGTCAATTATGGTTAGAAGAGCAACTCCTGATATGGATTGCTATTTATTCATTCGCAATCAGAATCAACATGGAGAGCTGTAGAGCAAAGTTGATGTCCACGGCGCCTTTAATATCACAACCATTTGTTTGTTGCAGCTTCACTCCTCTTCTTTGTTGTGCAAGTCAGCATAGATTGCGTTGTGATGCGCAGTAATTCCTGTCGATATTCTACCACATATCGAACATATTCAGAACTGGTGTGAGCTGAAGCGAATCTAGTTAGGCTAGCATCCGAGTCTGCGTTTCGTTGCGCGAATCGCAAGTGTCCCATTTGTACGTTTGAAACACTGAATATGAGACAAGTAGAATGATGAATAGTCGTCATTCAACCATCGCCATCAAGCAAAAATTGATTGATGGCGATGGTTGAATGGCGGCAGGGTTGAAAAGCACCTTGCTGTATTTATCGGGGCACTTATGATTTGTGTTATTTGTGATTCGACCCCGGCACTAGCCTAGGTTTTCTAGGTTGCGATGAGCGAGCCCTTTGCAGCGATACTAGATCTTCCGCTCCTTGGGGCTCGGCATCACTTTGTAGTAGGCTTACCCCCTTCTCTCGCACCCATCATAACGTCCACCATCAATCCTCAAAGGTGACTTTGAGAAACCATAGAGTATGTTTTGAAACAAGAATTTCTCTACTCTGTACAGCTGCCTTGGTGATGATAGCGATAGTGTATCCCTTTATTTCTATTGTGTCTTGCTTCACTTTTATACTTCAGGAGTCTCCGTTTGCATGTGGTGTGACTTTCCCTGATTCAAACGATAATCTCATTTTACGATTCGATTCCGAAAAAATGAGAGAATCGTGGATGATCAAGGTTAGTTTTCTTCCCCTCAGTTCAATCTTCTGAATCGTCGTTATCTTCTTCAGATGGCGACATGCTCTCACCAGATGGCACGAGCCCAACTCGATGAGATAGCGTATAAATTCTATACGATGGGAACAAAGCATGACTCGGGCACGGACTGCTCCTATAGCACCGCCCATAGTTTCTACCTTACAAACCCTTACAAAGTGACTCACAATTTCGCTATATCCCAGGCAGGTTGTGCTGTTTATAGGTTAGCTTACAATGATAAACCACTTGCCAATGATTCTCTGTGATTTTTCTAATTCAACCTTTTCAAGCGATGCTTTTAGCAAAACAACCTTCCTTCGCGACGAGTTGCTTTTGAAGAAATTATGTCAGAGTCTAAGCTGTCCATTGTTTTGCCTGTGGAGCTTGTGAAGCTGTACAAGAAATGGATTATAGAGTCAGTATACTTTGAGAGAAATAGAAGAATTTGTAGTGAGTGGTTTTCTCATTTTGTTAACCTTTCTTTTAGGTTCTCCTGCCTTCTTGAATCTCGTCAACATCAGTGGCCACTCTTTGCTATTCCTTATCTATACGATGTATTGAGAGAAATCAGAGCTAACACTGAAACATTGGAACAGTGTTCTGAATTTCTGGAGAACTATTCCGTCAGTAAGGGTTCAAGCTGCCCTTTTTGTTAACCTATCCTTTAATGCCTTCTTCTTCCCATTGAGCATAGCATTCTAGGGTCCTTCGTTCCGCAAATCAACAGAAAAGCATCGTGTTGCGTTTGCGCCTGTCCCGACTAACCTTCATGTCCATCAATCTACAGTCGATAATAGGGTTACTCGAGAGGTTTTGAGCTGTGGTACCACTTCTGCTTTACCTCTCCGCTTCCAGGTAGAAAAGATGAATTGATCCGTTTTTTACGTTAGTGGGCATTTTGGAGCAGTCCAGATAGCTCGCATACTCTTATGTTTTGAAAGCTTAGCACGGTGGCCTCTCTCGAATCGCTACATTGCTGGAAATTGACAGAATGTTCCATGATTTCCCTTTCTGGTCAAGGCGGTTCTTTTTGGCCGACCTCAAGAAGTACGTCGGACAACTGAATCGCAGGTAAATTGTGTCTCTAATCCGCTTCTGTCTTTTCGTATGATAGAGTTCACGGTTTACAATTTTCAGACTGGATGCTGAATGGAATGATGGGAATTTTGAAAAGCGAGCAAAGCTCAGTTCTGATATTGCTTCTGGTATCAGAAGTGTGAGTAATGAATTTAGTGTTCTACCGTGTAATTGAACTAGGGCTTTGCAGGTTTTTGAACGTTTCAAGGATATCGCCGACAGCATAGCAGAGCTGGATGAATACGCTGAAATTCTTGCGGACGAGGAGAATCGAAGAGTGTCCCTGGGTCAAAATGTATGTGCCATGACCGGGACTGCTTTTGTCAGGTCATTTAGCTCGTTTTAGATTGATCGGCGGATACCGGATACACTCCAAAACCAGATGGATACGATTGATGCCATGGTGATAAGTCTGACTACGAAAGTGGCCGTTATGGATAAAATCAACGAAGAGCAGGTAAACTTATCTCAAAAGTTACGTTAGCTTTCTTCGGCTATTCGGCATGTTCATTGCAGGGTAAAAGTGAAATCTACGAGAAGACTGTACGAGAAGCTATTTGTCTCTGCTTCGATATGTTACTAGCACTGGCAGACTCTGTTTTGGAATCACAGCTGTTCGGTCTAGGTTGGCGCACTAACACTGATTTTTGGCAGAACAAGTTCGGCATCGGTCATAAGAATGTGGTACTATGTCTGCTTTACAGTGGTAGAAACCCACAAGAGCTCGACGTCCCATCTCTATTTTCACGTGCAGCTAAGATCTGACTTTATTCTCTCCCAAGCAATCACCA